TGACCCCAACTTGAGACTGGATGAAGTCGGTGTCCCATACTCGACTGCTCGTATTCTCACTTACCCAGAAGTTGTTACCCCCTACAATATTGAAAAGCTCCAGAGATTGGTTGCAAATGGACCCAACGTGCACCCTGGTGCCCGATATATTGTTCGCGACAACGGTGAGCGCATTGATCTTCGTCACGCTAAGCGTGCGGGTGCCCAGCAACTGCTGTATGGCTGGAAGGTCGAGCGCCATCTTGACAATGGCGATTACATTCTGTTCAACCGTCAGCCGTCTTTGCACAAGGAATCCATGATGGGTCACCGCGTCCGCGTTATGCCCTTCTCCACATTCCGAATGAACCTGTCCGTTACCAGTCCCTACAACGCTGATTTCGATGGTGATGAGATGAATTTGCACGTCCCCCAGGGCGAAGAGGCGCGCGCTGAGCTCGCCGAGCTCGCTTTGGTCCCGAAGAATATTGTTTCCCCGCAACGTAACGGTCCTCTGATGGGTATTGTCCAGGATACCCTCTGCGGTATTTACAAGATCTGCCGTCGTGACACCTTCCTCACCAAGGAACAAGTTATGAACCTCATGCTGTGGGTCCCTGACTGGGATGGTGCGATTCCACCTCCGGCAATCATCAAGCCTCGTCCTCGCTGGACTGGAAAGCAGATCATTAGCATGGCTTTCCCCTCCGGACTCAACCTTCTGCGTGTTGACAAAGACGGCTCGCCTTTAGTTGAGAAGTTCAGCCCTCTCAATGATGGAGGTCTCTTGATTCACGGTGGACAGCTGATGTATGGTATGCTTTCGAAGAAGACGGTCGGTGCCAGTGGTGGTGGTGTCATTCACACCATTTTCAACGAGTACGGTCCTGACACTTGTGTGAAATTCTTCACTGGCGCCCAAACCATCGTTGGTTACTGGTTGCTGCACCATGGTTTCAGTATCGGTATCGGTGACACCATTCCCGATCAAAATACCATCAAAAAGATCGAGGAGGCCGTCCGAAACAGGAAACAGGAAGTCGAGGAGATTACGGCTAGTGCCACCGAGAACACTTTGGAGGCCCTTCCTGGTATGAATGTGCGTGAGACATTCGAGAGCAAGGTTTCTCGTGCTCTTAACAATGCTCGTGACGAAGCCGGTGATGCCACCGAAAGGAGTCTCAAGGATCTGAACAACGCTATTCAAATGGCGCGGTCTGGTTCTAAGGGTTCGGCAATTAATATTTCCCAGATGACTGCCCTTGTTGGACAGCAGTCCGTGGAAGGCAAGCGTATTCCGTTCGGCTTCAAGTATCGTACACTTCCTCACTTCACCAAGGACGATTACTCTCCCGAGTCCCGTGGATTCGTCGAGAACTCATACCTCCGTGGCTTGACTCCTACCGAGTTCTTCTTCCACGCCATGGCTGGTCGTGAAGGTCTGATCGATACTGCTGTCAAGACTGCCGAAACCGGTTACATCCAGCGTAAGCTGGTCAAGGCTCTTGAGGAAGTCATGGTCAAATATGATGGCACTGTGCGAAACTCCCTCGGAGATATCATCCAGTTCATCTACGGAGAGGATGGTCTCGACGGTGCCCACATTGAGAACCAGCGTGTCGATCACATCAAGTGTTCCGACGCGAAGCTCAGGGAGCGATTCCGTGTTGATGTTATGGACCCCGAGCGAACCCTCGGCCCAGAGATCTTAGAGCAAGCCAACGAAATTGCCGGCGATATCGAGGTACAGAAATACTTCGACGAAGAATGGGAGGCCATTCTGAAAGACCGTGAATTCCTGCGGTCTGTGGTCAAAGAGGACGAGGAGATGATGCAGCTTCCTATTAATATCCAGCGTATCCTGGAAATGGCCCGAACTACTTTCCGTATTCGCGAGGGCACAATCAGTGATTTGCACCCCGCTGAGGTCATTCCCCAAGTTCAGCAGCTCCTGGAACGCTTGGTGGTCGTTCGTGGTGACGATCCCATTTCACAGGAGGCTCAGGTCAATGCGACCTTGCTGTTCAAGGCGCAACTCCGCAGTCGTCTCGCTTTCCGCCGACTTGTCACAGACTATTCGCTTAACAAGCTAGCATTCCAACACGTACTGGGTGCCATTGAAAGTCGTTTCCTTCGTGCGGCAGCCAACCCTGGTGAAATGGTCGGCGTTCTTGCCGCTCAGTCTATCGGTGAGCCTGCGACGCAAATGACACTGAACACTTTCCACTTTGCTGGTGTGTCATCTAAGAACGTCACGCTTGGTGTTCCCCGTCTGAAGGAAATTCTCAACGTTGCCACAAACATCAAGACGCCATCTATGACTGTGTACCAAGAGGGTATGAAGACCCACGATAAGGAGGGCGCCAAACTCCTTCGAAGTCTCGTGGAACATACTAGTCTGCGGTCTGTGACCGAGTCGACGGAGATTTACTATGATCCCGATATTCAGTCCACTGTCATTGAGAACGATAGGGATATGGTGGAGTCGTACTTCATCATTCCCGAAGACAATGCCGACGACGCATCTCAGCAGTCGAGGTGGTTGCTCCGTATTGTTCTCAGTCGTCGCTCTCTTCTTGACAAGGGTCTCACGGTGCAGGACGTTGCTACCAGAATCAAGCAGGCTTATCCTCGTGATATTGCTGTCATCTTCAGTGATAACAACGCAGACGAGCAGGTTATTCGTATCCGTCAAGTCCAAGACTACAAGGAGGACGATGATGAAGACGTTGAGTACGACGTCACCTTGAAGAAGCTTGAGCAACACCTGCTGGACACTTTGACCCTTCGAGGTGTTCCCGGCGTTGACCGTGCTTTCATCAATGAGAAGAGCAAGGTCAGAGTCATCGAAGACGGTTCACTCCACACCAGCAAGTCCGATCCTCTCTGCAAGGAATGGGTTTTGGAAACCAGTGGATCGTCTTTGGCTGCTGTCCTTTCAATTCCGGGCGTTGACGCCTCCCGCACCTACTCTAACCAGTTTATTGAGATTTTCGAGGTCTTCGGTATTGAGGCTGCCCGTACAGCTGTGCTTCGCGAATTGACCCTGGTGCTTGCCTTTGACGGTTCTTACGTTAATCACCGTCACTTGGCTCTGCTGGTCGATGTCATGACTGTTCGTGGTTATCTGACTCCCGTTACCCGTCATGGTATCAACCGTGCCGACAATGGTGCCCTCATGCGTTGTTCGTTCGAAGAGACAGTTGAGATTCTGCTCGAGGCTGCTGCTTTCGGAGAGCTCGACGATTGCCGCGGTGTGTCTGAGAACTTGATCCTTGGACAGATGGCCCCTGCCGGAACGGGTGAGTTCGACGTCTACCTGGACCAGAACTTGCTCAACACCGTCGTGTCCAACAATGCACGCTATGGTCTGATGGGTGCGGTCGGCGCGAAGGATGCCATCATTTCCGACGGTGCTGCCACTCAGTACGATACTGGTTCTCCTATGGCCAGCTCCCCGTACATGGCCGGTAGCGATCCCGATCCGGCGTTCTCGCCTATGCACCAAATTGGCCAGGAGCCTACTGGAGGTCTCACCGAGTACCAGGCTAGCTCCAGTACCTTCAGTGCGTTCAGTCCTGGGCCTCGCAGCCCGAGCAGCTACTCGCCGACGAGTCCCTTCAATACTAGCCCGACGTCTCCTATGTACTCTCCGTCTTCGAGCTACTCGCCGACGTCTCCTGGCATCTCCATGACAAGCCCGCGGATGATGATGACCTCTCCTGGGTTCTCGTCTTCTAGCCCAACGTTCCAACCCACGTCTCCGATCTACTCGCCGACCTCGCCTGCATACGGCCAAGCGTCACCCACCTCTCCTTCATACTCTCCAACCTCGCCTGGGTTCTCGCCGACGTCGCCTAACTACAGTCCGACTTCCCCCAGCTTTAGTCCGGCCTCCCCGGCGTTCAGTCCGACTTCGCCGAGCTACAGTCCTACTAGTCCCGCGATTGGTGGTGCTCGGCACCTGTCTCCAACGTCTCCCACTTCTCCCAAGTACACTCCAACCTCGCCTGGTTGGTCTCCTACGAGCCCCCAGTCATACTCGCCGACTTCTCCCAATTTCTCTGGTTCTCCGACGTCACCTACCTCTCCGGCGTATAGCCCGACATCCCCGGCGTACAGCCCAACGTCGCCGCGTCAGTGAATATGGTACGAAGATGGCTTGCCTGTCTCAGGCTCGTGTTCCACATCTGTACCATCATCAACTTGAAGCTCAACCATTAAACAAAAAAGATCTTTTCGCGCTACAAATCTCGGAAATGATTTGATAATTTTTTTCACGATATCGGGGATTGTCTCCCATTCATTGTACCTCTTTAGTCTTTTTTTTAACCAATTAACCAACAACACGTGCCAGTTTGGTTTCAGCCGCCATCGTTCTGAGATTGCTTTGTTTTCCCGGCGCACTATTCCCCCATCGCGAATGCGAAGACCGCACAACCTTCGATCAGAATCGAGGACACTGTCCATGGATGCTGTGAGATAGGGGTGTGGACTTTGATTGCCATTGGGGAATTGCCCGACTCCTTTTTATTGCATGGAAAGCGCACCGGGGATGTATTTTGACTTCTCTTCGTTTGTACACACCCTCCAGAGGGACGAGTAGATTCCAACAATGCTTATGAAATTTCCAATCTTTTCCCTATAATTCGTATGCAGTAGAGAACAAGATGTCTCTACTTTGGCAGCTTATAGATTCTCACCGCTTTTATAGATAGTCTAAAGTCTAGGCTAAGGAAAGCTACATACGAATTGGAGAACATGTTAAACGAGATAGACAAGCAGAATCTCGGAACATATAACATCTTACATATAGAAAATATGCATGCACGTAGAAAGCTACACAGGTACGATGTAGTGATTGGCCCTCGGCAAAATGAAGCTCCGTCAAGCCAAGTGGCCCGTACTCTGCAACTACATCATATCACGATCCCCAGCTCTGTCGCTTTTGTGATTCTCATTGCTCTGAGAGTCGCAATGTGCTTCACACTCCAACACTACATCAGGATTTTGCAGGCATTATGAGGACGCCGCTCTCACACTTTCTCTCGGCCCTGCGTAAGATTTGCCCGCACCTGCAGGCCCGCATCGGAAACTGACACCCCTTTTCAGTGCTATTGCAGACATGCGCAGCTGGGCCTGGTCAGCCGCTTACTGACCAAACAGCGTCCGCGGCAACGGGCCGCGATGCAGACCACGAATTCACGTTCCTGGCAGGGGAAGCAGAACCCCGACCTATGACTCGTGAGTAGAGACGACTTGTGCCTTATCGCCTGACGCTTGATACTGATTGCCTTCATCGTGATTATAGAACGAGTCGAGAATGCCTGGAATACCCTTCGCACAATAAAGAATCCAGTCCTTCAATCCGACAAGTCGAGAGGATTACTAGGGACGGTCACATACTATGGCCGTCAAACGGTCCGACTGCTATTCTTGAACCGCCCTTCGACCGAAAAACCCGAGCAGAAAATAAACAAACATCTGACGGGAGCAGTGGAGGAGCTGAGAACAGCTGCAGACGAAGACCGAGACCCGGATGCTATGTTCTTGTTAGCAGAGATGAACTTCTATGGCAACTTCTCCCATCCCCGCGATTTCAAAGAGGCCTTCCGCTGGTACCACGAACTAGCATGGTTGGACGGAAACAACACAGCGCAGAACATGGTCGGGTTCATGTATGCGACGGGCATCGGCGGTGCGGTCGAACCCGACCAGGCAAAGGCCCTGATGTACCACGAGTTTGCAGCGGAAACAGGGAACATCCGCTCGGAGATGACACTTGCGTATCGCTACCACACTGGTATCGGAACGCCGAAGGATTGTGACCATGCGATCCATTACTACAAGAAGGTTGCGGACAAGGCGGTCGAGTACTACCGCTCAGGCCCTCCGGGTGGTAGGTCTATGGTTCGAGAATCTTATCGTTGGGCAGACGAAGAAGGTGGTGTCTACGGTCCAGGAGCCAGTGTGTCGAGCTCGGGTCAAAATGCGCGGGACGCTGCCAATGCCTCTCCTGAGGCCAGCGTGGAAGATATACTAGAATACTTGGATCTCATGTCCCGGAAGGGTGAACTGAAGGCTACATACACCCTCGGTAAGATGAACTTCGAGGGCGCCCGGGGCTTGCCGCGGAATTTCCGACTGGCTATGAAGCATTTCAAGGTTGTTACCAAGAAATATTGGAACAAGGATGGGTCCGTCAACTCAAACCCCCCTGCAGGGCTTGATAAACTGGCATCCAAGGCCGCAGGACATATTGGCCTGATGTACCTTCGCGGAGAGGGTGTTAAGCAACACTTCCCGACTGCCCTCACATGGTTCCGGAGGGGTATTACGAACGGGGACCCGATGTGCCAGCATTGGATGGGTCTGATGTATCTCAAGGGCTATGGTGTTCCGCAGGATGCCTTCAAGGCATCTCACTACTTCAAAGCAGCGGCAGAGCAGGATTCCCCTGCGTCAGAATCACGATTAGGCGCTCTGTTCTTGGACCAAGGAGATGTGGCAACCGCAACACGTTACTTCGAGCTTGCCGCCCGCTGGGGCTGGATGGAGGCGTACTATTATCTAGCTGAGATGGCCAACTTCGGTATTGGCAGACAGCGTCACTGTGGTGTGGCCGCTGCCTACTATAAAATGGTTGCCGAAAAAGCAGAGATCGTCCACTCAGCTTTCGTGGAGGCAAACGCTGCTTACGAAACCGGTGATAAGGAGGGCGCTCTCATTCCGTCAATGATGGCAGCCGAGCAAGGCTATGAGAATGCACAGGCAAATGTGGCTTATCTGCTTGATGAGCATCGCTCCGTACTCTCACTAAATTCCATCCTTCCATGGGCTGAGAAGGCTCGATCCTCCTTGATGCGCAATGCGCGACTGGCCTTGATTTATTGGACCCGCTCTTCGAAGCAAGCCAACATCGACTCTTTGGTCAAGATGGGTGACTACTACCTGTCTGGTACTGGTACACCTATCGATGCCGACAAGGCCTCGACCTGTTACCACAATGCTGCTGAAGCCCACCACAGTGCCCAGGGCTACTGGAATTTGGGATGGATGCATGAGAATGGCGTGGCAGTAGATCAGGATTTCCACATGGCCAAGCGATATTATGATTTGGCTCTTGACCTCAGCCCCGAAGCGTATCTGCCAGTGAAGCTCAGCTTGATCAAACTCCGGGCTCGAGGATACTGGAATCGCATCACTAACGGAGACATTAACCCCATCCATGAGGAGGAAGGTAAGCTGCTCCTTCGCTCTTACCCCGTGAAATTAATCGCGTTCTAGTTTCTTACTTACGTTTATCACTAGACTCGAAGCCCCGTCGTACCTTCAAGGAATGGGTCAAGGCTTTCATCGAGAACGACGAGGATGGCTATTACGAAGACCTTTATGAACTACAACGGGGTGATGATGATGAATATCGTGGCTTGGAATCCGAAGGCCACGAAGATGGCTACTATGATGACCTGGACCTTGATATCGACGAGGGAATGCTCGAGGGTCTCCTCATTGTCGGACTGGCTGCTGCGCTGTTGGTTTTGGTATACTACCGTCAGCAGCAGCAGCGCAACCGACAGAACCAGAACGCCAATGCCAACGCTAACGCCAATGCCCCGAATGGAGATGGGAATGCCAACGACCGTGGATTATTCCCTCAGCCTGGTGAACCTGACTTTGGGCAATGGGTAGCAGGAGGAGTTGGTCATTGAGGAGTTCTAGAATTGTAGATAATTAGTCTGTTTGCTTATCGATAAGAATATCGCATCTCCGCATTTCACTCGGCTTCTCCAACTTTTCTATGTTTCTTTCTCCTCGTTAAACACATCGAAATTCCGAGGTCTGTATCCAATTGATGCATCATGGACAAGCCGTCTATTAAACGTCGTCGCATCGACGCAGCTACCGCTCTCTCAAAGCCGTTCAAGTCCCCGCTACGCAGACCTGCACCAACAAAGATAGACGACATGCCATCGAAGCCTGTCGCACTCGAGGACACGCAAATTCTAGCGACTCCTACCCTCACTGTAAAGTCCAACTCAACATCAAATTCACCAGATCTAGCAACAACTCTAGTACCCCCTAAGCGCAAGCGCGTGGTACGAATCTCTTCCTCATTCCCTTTACAATCATTCCAAAGCACCGACCCAGAGATTCTAGAACTGCAAAAGCAGCACCGCGAGATCCAGTCAAAGGTCGATGCACTCATCACCAAACTTGAAACAGCAAATCAGGCCCACAACCTCGAGACGAATGCCAGATACATCGAGATTCCAACTCTCATCACCAAATGGCGGCTCGCCAGCCAGGACGCAGCCGATGAGGTATTTGTCGGTGCCAAGGAAAGGTTTGATGGGATGGGAGGGATGGCGGCTTGGAAAGAGCGGTCGAAGCGTGATGCGACACGGTGGGAGGAGTTTGATGGGGAGAATCGTGAGCGGGAGGATGTCGATGAGGACGAGGGAGACGTTGATAACTACGGGACTGAGGATTCTTCTGGCTGGCCATTGAAGAAGGATGATGAGGAGAGCCAGGATCAAGTACGTATTGTGATATTACTGTGGTTTTGGGTGGAATCTATGCGCTGACATTGTTACCCAGGAGTTCACAATGGAGTTCATGCTCAAGAGTCTACATGTTGATCCTAAGTTGATCGGATATGATACCAAGGCTCAAAGATGGATCAAAATCTGATTGTTGCTGTCGACTGACAGTGAGCGCGGGTATGGGACGAATATGAATGTTATCCATGGACTTTATTTCCAGTTGACCTGACTTGACAGATCTCTTACAATGTTATACTTAACAGAAGCAGGATATATAATGAACCAAACATTTCTTATCATCGCCTAGACCTTCCTTCTGCAGCAACTTATTAAAGGACTGATATCGTACCGGCGCGGATCCGTTATCGCGAGTCTCCCCGCATTCCCTCTCACTCCCTGTATGTGTCCAACAATTGCTGCATGTCGCGCCCTCTCAAGCACAGAGAAATAGCATGCGATCGCTGTTTCCGTCACAAGCGGAAATGTGATCATGCAAAACCTTCATGTGGCGAATGCCGTCGCAAGGGCGCTGAATGCTTGCCGGCTCGGTCTCGGAAGATGGGAGATAACATCACAATCCCGCTGGAATACTTGAAACAACTCGAGCAACGGGTCGCAGAGCTGGATCATGAGTCTAGCGTTATAGAGACCACGGTCGAAACATGTGATGCTGGAGTCCAGACGGATTTTGAAGACCCAGAACACAAGCGCAGTAATACAGGCAATGACTCGGACTACCTGATGGCCGAGCAGAATAGTAGCGGGGAGAATGACGGCTCTTTTATGCTTCTGCCAGACTTGCAACACAGCAGCGAAAGATCACCGCGAAAATATCCATCATCTTTCTCGCCTGACGCGTTCTCTTTATTCCCGGAGACGACATTCGACGTCCCCTGGATTGACCTGGCACCCTCGTATCCTTTGACTGATGACGATGCCCCTTGGCTCAAAGAGCTCTATACAAATGTGTTTTTCTCCGTGACTCACCGCGAGTGGCCCTTCTTGAACGAAACAGCTTGGAAATCATGGCATGCCGAGGCAGTCCTGGAAGGGCAGGATGAATGGAAAGCCTTCTTTCTGCAGATGGTGTATGCTATTGGTGCATCCCTTTGCAATGTTTTACAACGAGACCCTTCGCACTCCGTTCGGTCAAAGGAGTATCATACCTCGGCTATGAGATATTACCCATATGTTGTCGGGCATTCGTCTATGGTCTTGCAAATCCAAGCTTCACTGTTCATGATACTCTATGCTATGCATTCTCCTTCTTCCGAAGACATCATAACGAGCGTCTCTTCTGTGCTACCTTTCTGTACAGCTGCCATGACAGAGATCCGGAAGCACGTATCGATATGCCGCGACAATGGATCCATGACCGAATTTAGCGAGGTTTTGTCTGAGAACATGTTCATTACTTGCTACATGCTCAATGAAGTCATTGTTTCAGGGTGGGACCGACCAGTGTCGGCTGCCTACAGGGTTGTTGACGATGACGTGAGTTATTTTCAACTTTCTAAGCTTTTCACAGTCACTAATTCTCTACTTAGATGTGCACTCTGGGAGATACCCTCCAACCAACCCTAAGCACAAACCCCGCTATAAGACACTTGTTCCGACTACGCAAGATCCAAGCCAGCATCAGAAGAACGCGGGAGAACCGACCCCGAAATCCCCTCGCCAGATATGGTAAAGGTTATACCTCCTCATTCAAGTCCGCTCTCGATAGATGGCGACAAGAGATTCCACACTACGAATTAGACAGTGACCAACACGGCTATCTCCATCCTATATGGATGCGAAAGCTGTATGTTTACAGTCTCTTGATCCTGATAGAAGAGAAAGGCGATCTCATCGAGATGGACGGAATAGAGGAAATTCTCGCGACGATAGCGGAGGTCTGTCTCAATTTCCGGCTGCTGCAAGAAGAAGGACATGTGATGTGCTTTACCTGGTCTGCAGTATGTGTCGAAATTCTGCTTTTTCTTCCGATCGAGGTACACCCGATGTGATTTTGACTAACCATCAATCATCATTAGCTTGTATTCCAATTCCGAGCGGGAATCATGATGCTTTACATTGTCTGGGCGACAACCCCAATCACTGATATTCGGGATCAACAGCGTATCAGAGAGAACAACCAGCAGGCCATTGCTACATGTGCAGCCAATCTAGCTGGCTTTGTCGACCGGTGGAACGACGCAACGCCATATATGAAAGTGCTGGAGTTCGTACGACAGAAGATCATGTGGGATTCTGGCACATTTGAAGCTAATTCTAGTGCTGCAATACCACTGGAAGTGGCTGAATTGCACTTGGAGCAGTTGAGGAAGAGTTATCTACACCGAGCTGTCTTGGGGATGATTGAAGATATGATATATGGGAGGAGTATACATCAGGACATTTTAGAGGAAGATTATAGAGAGATGTCGTAAATATGAGCGCTTTGTAATTTATTTCAGGAGGTCTATATAATGGAGTAATGGAAAGAAGAGTTACATTTCTTGACGACACTAAGTCTTCATAGTAGGATCAACTTGCCCGTTGTCGAGCCATCCTTCGTATGAGCTGTGATGACTATGATAGTCTGTGTCAAAGCAGGACTCGACCACCTCTTCCAGGGTTGATCACGTTCCGATGCAGGGTAGGAAGCTATGATAAACCATCTATCGCCCTCTATGGCCGGCTTGAACACTTGACCGTTGATATGGCATTCCATAGTCTCCAGTTGAGAGTCCTTGGGTACCACTGATCCCTGGATTTGAACCACAACGGTGGAGTCCTGAATCTTCTTCACTTGAGTCTCCACTACCAACTCAACGGTCGATCGAGAAGCCCATGGCCGAGGATCTTGACCACCCTTGATGAGATCAGAGTCAAGAGCAGGCACAAGCGGTGGCTTAACACGGCCCTTCATCGCCATCTCAAAAGAAAAGCCATACTTGAGCAGACTGTTATCATCGTATGCCTTTCCAGCGAAGGTAAGGTTCACCGGCATCCCCGTATCTTCCATGAGACCCATAGGAACGGAGATAGTGGGGACACCGAGGTGACGAATAGGCCTGTTCCCGTTCGAGTACTTGACGCCATTACTCCACGCAAACAGCGAAGCCGCCTCATCGCAGTCCGCATCAGCAGCTCCGATATCGCCATTGGCTGGGAAAACAACAGCATCAAGCCCAAGCCCATCCATCCAGTCCTCAAAAGTCTCCTTGCGCGCATTCTCAAGAGCCTGGATTCCCTGCTGAATACCGGGGATATCGAAAACAGACGCCGGCCTCCGGTGCGGGTATTGAACCATCTCGTCCCACCGCAGCGCATTGGCCGCATCGGGTGCACCCTTCAGAGACCCCGGTGCAAGAGGGAAGATCGTCGTCGGATCGACCTTAGAAAGACTATCGAGACCCTTTTGGCCGTTGTTGATCAGGAAGTCATCCCAGATATGTGCGACGAGCTCGCTCCGCTCCAGCGCGGACCATCCTTCTGGTAGTCCTGCGACGGTGACGAGCTGGCCCTTGTCTGCGTTTGACTCGTAGGTTGTCACAATTGGGAAGTCCGTTTCGATTACCTCCGCGCCACAGGACTCGAGGGCCTTTCTGGCGTTTTTCCATAGCTTGATTATGGAGGGCCGGGTGTTGACTCTGCTGGCTGGGGATAGAGAACAGTTATCGCCTCCGATGTACATTGACGGTACACCGATCCGCTTCCCGCGCAAGGATGTGCCGTCTTGCAATCCTGAAAAGGACTGTGGTCGGAGTGTATCGATCGAAGGGAGGGAGATGAGTTTTTGTTCCTGGTAGAAATCCCCCGTCGGGGCTTTGTCGGACACGGCTAGAACATCTAGGACGTGGAACATATCTGCCATAGTCCTGGTGTGCGGTACTAGGACATCACAAGTCAAGTAGAGTGGCCAGACACCACGGAGAGGAAGAAGGCCTTTCGAAGGCGTGTATGCAACAACGGCATTATTTGACGCCGGCGAGCGACCCGAAGAAACAGTCTCGCTGCCTAGAGAAAAAGCACAAAAGTTGGCCGTCGTCGCGACTGCCGATCCATTCGATGAACCGGATGCATACGCCGCAGCCAGGTATGCTGTATTATACGGGCTTTCAGCGCGCCCATAACACCCACGTTGCATACCACCGTACGCCATGGCGGGCATGTTCGTCCGGCCGAGAAGCACGGCGCCAGCCTCGCGGAGGAGTTGGATACAGGCAGCATCTTCGTTGGCGACGAGAGTTTCAAATGCAGGTGAGCCGCTCGCCACGGTCATCCCCTTCACTTTAATGCTGTCTTTTGCGAGGAAGGGGATACCCTCCAACGGTCGCAGCGGCAGACCAGCTGCACGCCAAGCATCGGACGCGGCTGCTTCATCGAGGGCGGCTGGGTTTAGAAGCGGAATGGCAGTAAGCTTTAGATTACTTGCATCATAGACGCTGATTCGTTGTAGGTATCGTGATACTAAGCCCACACTAGAGAGCAATCCTGAAGAGAGTGCGGATTGGAGCTCCGAGATACTGGCGTCCAGGAGCGATAAGTCTTGGGATTGGTGAGCCATGCCGAGGAGTGCTTTGAAAGTTTGAAATGCGAGTGATATGGTTCCTTTTCGTCTGATCCCTTCGAGTGATCTAGACAGGACGAAGTATATGACCCCGTACAGCGGAGAAGAGTCCGCTTACCCCACACTTTATATGCGGACTATTGGCCGCTCATCTTCCTATCTCCAACGATCGACCTGACCAAAGATAGCTTTGTAGATAAAGAAAGAACATTGCTTATCTGCTTGGCGTTGATAGCAAGTTATGGCCGAAAAAGTACGCGGGGTATATAATAGAGCGCTGGACGTTGATATACGGCCCAGTTCTGTTCAACTTGACCCCCGCCACTTACAATGAACCCCAACGACACAAAGGAGGACCACTCCACTGCGGAGAAGGATGTCACACATGTGGCACTCGGCGAGACTCATGATATCGGAGCGAATCTGTATCTGGAGGCAGAGCAGCTGACTGCCGAGGAACTGGAGACTGAGGGCGCCGAGGTGCTGAGGATTCTCGACTGGAGGGTTATGCCGGTGGTGAGTTGTGACTGTGATATAATATTTTGATGTTGTTTCTGACAGTTGATCGTGTTTTTAGCTCTACCTGACCTATGTTATTCAATTCCTCGGTATGCAAGAACATTCCCCTATTGTTAATTCTATAACTAACGTGCTATATAGACAAACTATCACTTAATTATGCATCCGCATACTCTTTGATCCCAGATCTCGGTCTTGAAGGCCAACGATATTCATGGGTTGCGGCGATTTTCAATTTCGGTTATCTCTTCTGGGCCCTCCCAGCCAACCTCCTAATCCAACGATTGCCAATCGCAAAATATATGGGCGGTATGCTTCTGATCTGGAGTGTGCTCGTTATTGCCCACGTCGGAGCGAAGAACTACGGAGGAATCTTGGTGCTAAGATTCCTCCTGGGAATGGCAGAAGCCGGAGTCAGTCCGTGCAGTGAGTAGACCACGGCACAAACCAGAGACACGAAAAGGACTAACATTGTTCTGTCTAGTGATGAACCTGACATCAATGTTCTACAAGCGCTCCGAGCAGCCATTGCGCATGGCTGTCTGGCTCAGTGCAAACGGCATGGCCACGATGGTAGGGGCCCTACTAGGATTCGGCCTCGGCCATTCACACAACACCGCGCTCCGCAGCTGGCAGTTGATCTTCTTGACCATCGGACTACTCAACTTCCTCACTGCCTGTATCTTCCTCTGGCTCATGCCCGACTCGCCCAGCTCTGCCCGCTTCCTGACCCACCGACAGCGCGTGATTGCCGTGCAGCGTGTCGCCGAAAACATGATCGGTGTGAAGACCCGAGAGATCAAACCACGCCAGGCGCTGGAGATTCTCTACGATTTCAGAGTCCTCTGCTGCGCCGGAGTCGGAATTGCCTGCGGTGTTATCAACGGCGGCTCATCAAATTTCGCATCAGCCTTGATCAAGGGCTATGGCTTCAGCGGGATCTACACTACACTCCTCCAACTACCCACCGGCGCGATTGAAGCTGTAGTCGTTCCCATCTGCGGTATCATCGCCACCTACGTTAAAGATTCCCGCTGCATCGTGCTTGCAGTCGTTTCTCTAATCCCCTTCGGTGGCCTTCTGGGTATCCGCTTTACCAGCCTTGACCACCGTTGGACTTTAGTCGGATGCACCTGGCTGCAGTACATTATTGGTGCCCCCGTTATTATCTCGTGGAACCTACTTGCTACCAATGTAGCCGGCCACACCAAGCGTGCGGTCGCCAATGGGCTTTGGTTCTCGCTATATGCGGCTGGCAATGTCGCCGGAGCGAACATCTTCTTCGCCGACGAGGCCCCGCGCTATTACTCGGGTCTGCTGGGCCTGCTCATTTGCTATGCGGGCATCATTGTTCTAGCATGTGCGACATATATATCGATGAAAATGGAGAATAGAAGGAGAGATGCTACAGCTGTTGCGGCTGGTAGTGATGAAACTCCGGAGGACATCACCTCTCAGGCTATCTTGGATGGATTCAAGGACTTGACGGATATGGAGTCCAAACATTTCAGGTATGCGCTTTGAGCTTGGCCACGGGCTATGTATTTAATGTATGAATTACTATGTGAGACTGGAAGGCAATAGTCCATGATGATTTACTCTGATAATGTTCTGTAAGAAATGAAGCAAGCAAATATGGTCTTTATTAATCCAGGGATGACATCGTGACAGTAATAATCTAACTAGGACAAGGGACCATGACTAAATTACAAAACAGAAAGCCTTCCAATGCACTACTAGTCGTATAACATAATCTTCCCAAGTCAAAATGCAGAGTTCATATCAACATGGCCTTCTAGCAACCACCACAGTCTCATATGGTGTTAATCCGATATGATCTGGAAAACTCAACTCCGAGAATGGAGATTGACAAAACCGCGTCTCATAGTCTGGCCAATCAACCCGAGGCCCAAGCCAGACAATAAAATCCACATTTTGACCACCATAATTATCAATGTATTTGGTGATGAGTTTTGGGTCGCGTGGGTAGACAAACATCCACGCCGCTGCCTGTTGGGCGGCAGACCAGAGACCCCAACCTCCGCCGACAACATTCATATCTTCTTCGGCGATGTACCGATTAATAGTGGAATCCACCTCAACACCCTCCACTGATACATTCCTGTCGTAATGCACAATGAGACCTTCGAGGAGACCAGATCCGCTGCCGATTGAGATAGTGAATTTAGGCTTTTCGGGGAGGAGCGAAGCAAGGTAGGTGATTAAGGTGCTGGAGATGGCTAAGCAGCAGTCTGGGAATCTCTTCGGCGCTGGTAAAAGCTGCTTGGAGATCTGAGATATATCCATGCTGGTGAACTCAAAAGGGAAGGAACGGAGTGCGGCTACTATTACTGCCAGTTGCCTGTAGTCACCGCCGGGTATTTACTGCACACCGCCGGTTTTATCAACGGTCCTCGCGATGCCTCGGCTCGGAAGTGGGGCGGGAGAAGCTTAAAATAAATCTTTGCCTTTTTGGGCTTAGGATATCCTTCCCAGGCACTAGCATAGGCTCCAGCCCAGGCTCCAGTTCAGGGTCTTTGACCCTTGGAACTAAGCTTTCATGACCCGTGACTGCTTCCAACTATCCATTTCTTCTTGACTTCCCTTTCGCACACTCCTTCCTATGTTGTATAGACGTTCTTTTCTTTCAATCTATGTGCTTTATTTTCTGAGACGTCTGCAATTCTCAGCCCCGAAATGTCTTATGTACCGCCAGGATGGACCCTGGAGCGACTTCAAACTGCAAATGTTGATGATATACGCGAGATACCAGAAGAAGTGGGTGATCTAACCAAATGTTTGAGATTTCTTCCACTAAAACAAGAAATTATTTCTCCTTTCAATACAGATCGCTGATCTATTTGATCGTCTAGGAACTCCGTCAGATTGATAAGAGTTTAATTTCTGTCGATAATGTTCAAGTCCGAATAGTGATCGGCCATGCAATTCACAACGAACATCGACGGAGACTCCGCCTGGAGCGGGGCCTACCACCTTGTCCGGGGGTGCCACTCTTTGAAGAAAGTGTCGACTTCGTTGTGCAGGTAGTAGAAAGGGAAGGATACGATGACTTTGGATATATCAGGTTCCGAACCGATTACTCTGATCAATAACGCTGGGAGCAGTGGGAGAAAGACTACGAGCGCATAGAGGAAACCATGACCAAGAAAATCCGCGGGTGGAAGAATGCCGAAGACAAATGCTTCATGCCAAGCTACGAAGACAAGGATTTACAAGGCGCCACACATAAACAGATCCAGCAGTAAGATCTCATTCCTATCCTTACGACGGAGGCTCGGGAGGTCGTATGATGGCTTTTTACAAATTCTCGCCGTAGGGAATACTATGAGTACAAGGAGTCCAACGGTATCGCTCCGGGACTTGACACTGGTGTGTCTCTGGTTGTCGATTCAGTTGCCATGGACTCTATGGCAACCGACCTGCCGTGGGTGTATGTATTGGATGTATCGTTTGATCATGGAAGTCAGGTCGAAGAAGGAGAATATCCAGGCTACTTCCGAGTTGCTCTGGAGTCACTTCTAATGGATCTTTACCCGCTGCTCGAAATTATGCCGTTCCACGAACTTTAGCCTTAGGAGGATAAAGTATCGGCCTCGGTCATAAATATGATAGACTCGCGAAAGTCGATCACTATCAATTATATTGTGGGAATTATCAGCTTTACTCTCTGGCAAGGCTTAATCAACTCTTTTAAGGTAAATAAAATCAAGCTTGGAGCATTATTGAATCCCTGGCTATCAAGCTTTAGTTTGGACCGTGACTTGAGCTTGAGCAAATCACAATCAAGCCTTTGGGATCGACAAGTGTTGTTATCTCGCTCTAAAATTCTAGATCATTAAAGACAACCCGCATCATGGCATCCTCCAGCGGCAAAGGATCGACAATCTTCTCAACATATCCTGGCCAATCGTCAATCCACTGCAAGAGGGGGAAGATATGGGAGTATTCCGATACCATCCAACCGCTTCCCAGTCCACAAGGGCAGCTACTTCATACTGTACCTCCTTTCATCTCTGTTTTTCTATATTGCGTACCGAACAATACAGCTCACGGCATAACTGGAGAATGTAATATCATAGGCCTTCAAAAATTCGTATAGAATCTAGGTATCATAGCAGTCCTCGGAGTCTACCAGCGTAAATATCAATCAGCGCCGCATCTATCTCAGACCTTCTCGATCAACCCATCGAAGATCCGGCTAATCTCCTTGGCACTCTTCTTTGGGATTCTCTTCTGGTCATTCTCATAGTCGACAAAAGTAACACCGAAGCGAGTCTCATAGCCCTCAGCCCATTCGAAGTTACTGTAAGTAAAAAAGTTAGTCGGATATATACCATCGAGGAACTAAGCTTAAAACATACTCCATAAGACTCCAAGCCATGTACGCCCGCACATTAACCCCGTCATGGGTATACGCATCAGCCACAGCACCGATATAATCCCGGAAATACTGCACGCGGAACTCATCATTGAGCAGCTCCTCAAGCGGCATATCGTTCTCACCCAAGACACTAGTCCCGTTCTCGGTGACATATATCTTGGGATAGCCGTACCGCTCACTGAGCCATCCGAGCAGTTTTCGGAATCCGATAGCAGATGGTCGCAGCCAAGGCGACTGTGTGATCGGCCCGACACCCACGCCGTTCTTGTCTTCGAGCAGGAGCTCCAGGTTACCCGCGACATCGTTGATATCCGGCTCTCCTGTCTTGGCGCGGATGAAGTTCGCGCAGTAGTGGTTCATGCCGTAGAAGTCATTGCTGCCCTGGACAAGGGCGATGTCCTCCGGAGTCCAGGTTGGCAGGCGGCCGCCAAGTTGCTTGATCATACTATCTGGGTACTTGCCGTGGTAGATGGGGTCTGCGAACCATGATATAGCGAACTCAATCTTGCGGTCACAGGCTTCTACATCGGCTGGGTTCTCAGAATCCCAGGGCTCGGCCCAGTCACCTAGTTAGTCGATGGTCTGATTAGTAAACGGCTCCGTAGATGCAGGAAGAATGGGAATATACCGTTCAGCGTAATGCCAATCTCACCACCGTCCCGTTCTTTGAACTCATCGCGGTAAATCTTCACCGCAGCTCCGTGGGCAACTAACAAGCTATGACCGACAATCCACGGCTCAGTCGAGCTATCTCCCACCGCGCTCTTGGTGCGATCACTCGTGTGGCCCGGAGCGAAGGAACCGTTGTTGTACCCAAGAACACTACTGCACCAAGGCTCGTTGAAGGTGATCCAGTACTTGACTTTGGACCGAAAGGCCTCGAATACAACACGGGCATAATGTGCGAAGTCGGCAACGAATTCCTCCTTATTGAGAGGTCCACCGTAGCGCTTGTCGAGCTCATCCGGAAGATCCCAGTGGAAGAGGGTAACCATGGGTGTGATACCCGCATCAATCAGATCATCCACGAACTTCTGGTAGAACTGTATGCCTTTCTCGTTGATTAGATCGTTACGGCCGCCGAGTGGGATAATGCGGGACCTATAGATTTTGACAAGCTGGTTAAAATCTTTCCAAAGATTGAAACTCGAGGCAAGGAACACAAAGAGACGAACCATGAAAGGGAAAATCGGTATGCCTGAGAACCGCATTCTTTCAACAAGGCGATATCCTCGTGTGTGCGGTGATATGAGTCGCAAGCTACATCTCCAGTTCCGCCGCCGGCAATCTTGCCGGGGATCTTGCAGAATGTATCCCATATCGAAGGGGCGCGGCCATCTTCGTTAACTGCTCCTTCAATTTGGTATGCGGCTGTAGCAAACCCCCAAAGGAAATCCGAGGGAAGAGTAGATTGCTTAGATTCCATGGCGACGTGAATGAATGTTAATCAAAAGAAGCCGTGTAATCCGATTGTTTAATTCGAGCGCACATCGATATTTATCTAATTATATTTAATTTTTATCTTCTTGAAATCCAGTGAGTCTACCACTATGGAGAGCTCCTTATCGTGACAGGAATGACCTCCGCGATCCGGACTGAGGTCCGCGTCGAGAGCGTCGAGAGGCTCCACATCTCATGACGAATGGGCTCAACGCCAGCCCTAGAGCGGTTGAACGGCCGATCACAAAGAAGTGGAAGAAGTATATTCAAAACTGGTAGAGATGGATGTAAATACAATACAACCTAATAAACAAATGATCCGCCAAGAACTCCGGAATATAATGCGTGCCCCATTCGTGCAATTCGCAATTTCATGCAATTCATGCAATTCATGAGATCTCCATCCCTTCATCGTCTGCGTCGGCCTCGGACATCTCATCGGCAGTAGATCCCAGCCGCATTCGAGAGGTCTTATCTCGGTCACTTAGGCAATCTGCTCCGAATGTGACCATCTCCAATTCAGGCCCTGCGAAGACGCGACCTTCTGTATCCACCACTTCGCAGAGTTGAATCAAACTCTGGTGGCTGAGGGATTTAAACCCGTCTGTCCGTACCACACGGCCCCAGTATGTCATGCAAAACTGTGCTGCTCGGCGCATCAACCAGTGTTCATTGGTCCGCCCCGCACGTTCCCAAATGATGGCCGCGTTGTCTACGTCAAGCTCTTGGCTTAACCTATTGACACACAGCAGACGAAGCTTCGGCATGTCATAAAGATTGGCCATAACAAGCATACCCGCCACATCGATGGCACTCAAGCAATAGTCTGGATGGCCGGAGATACTGTCTGTGTACAGGTAGTAGAGAAACGCGCGCACGACAGAATAAGGCTCGGGGATGTGCATCCGCTTGGTGTGGTACTCAGCCATCTGGGCGGAGTACAGGCGTTTGAAATGTGGCCACCTGACCTGGAGAATGATAAGATGGACATGGATGGGCTCTGAGGTCCAGCGGTTCTGCGCCACAAAGGTCGGCTGGGTCTGGGTTGGGGAAACGGACGGCGTGTCGCCCATATCTTCCGATATGGACCCGTCATGATCGTCACGAATAGCAGTGATGACAAAGTCTGTACCACTTCCAGACTCAGGAGGTTCGTCGAAAACAGCGGCTAGATCGGTCCCGAGCCCGGAAACCTGAGAGGAGCCCATTGGATCTGACGGCCAAGGTGCGCCTTGTTCGGGGGGTTCTGACGACAGTCCGTTACCTAGTAAACCATACTTTTCCAAATCGATAGTCAGGACTTCACTCATATGATTCTCGTCGCTTCCGCCTGGTACATTCGCGATATCAAGACTACATCCCAAGAGCCATGCTTTGGTACCCGTGTCATTGACTGTGCAATAGTGCCATCGATATCCCGGCCGAAAGATCTCTTGACCATCAGCCAGCCGTTGCCAGCGCAGCGAGTTGAGGTCCAGAGCCGACAGGTTACAATCATGCGACCGTACGGTCTCCGACGGCGTGATTAGGTCGAGCAGGACACCAGAGGCGAATGAATGAAAATGAGTACCAGAAAACAAGGAGGGGACATGAGGACCAGAATCAAACCTAAGACAAGATATGGCACCGGGCGCGACTGGCTTGCGTCGACCCAAATTGCGTACCTGCACACTGCCTGAATTGGCAGCGTAGATTCCGGAGCGGGGAGACATTTGATGAGGACTAGATATAGAGTCTGGGAGATAAGCCCCCGAAATATTGATGCCCAGGGAGTTGACGCTACCTTGGGGAGTGGTGTTTCCAGCCAACGAAGGAGATCCCTTGAGGTCGAGCCACCAGATATCAGTAGTCCGTTCCATGTTCGGACCCAATCCACCAAATATCCACAGCCGTGTGCCCCAAACCCAAGCGGTATGATCGAAGCGAGCAGTGAAGCTCCATGTCCGAGACCAAGTCCATGTTTGTAGATCCAAATAGGTCAAATCATCCAATATCACATTCTTCTCCCCTGTCACGCCTCCCACACCTGTCACTCCGCCCACAATAAAAAGCTTGTCTTCGTGAATGACGGCAGCATGGCGGGCGCGGCCACGCGGGATCGACCCGCGAATTTCGGGGAGTGCCCAGGTGAAGGTATTGAGATCAAGGATGACAACGTCGGAGAGGTATTCGCGATGCTCATTTTCGCCTCCAAACACAATCAATTTATCCCCTTGGTACAATGTCGCCGTATGCCCTATAAAAAATAAGATTTCCAGTCAGAGTGTTTATCACTAAACATGGACGAATGAGAAGAGAGAATCATTACCCATGCGAACTCCGGGGATATCGCCATAGTTGTCCACGAGCTCCCAGCGCAAAGTCTCCAAGTCCAGCCGGAGCACGTGGTTGTAAACTAAAAATCATTAGTGCCATTTTAGAATTATAGCTTAAGGTGATGTGAACCTTCATCAGTAAACTGGTCAAAACCCCCGAACGCATAAATGCGATCATTGCTGCAGTACGTCACCGAGGCATTGACCAGGCACGCGGGGACATGGCCCTGGGCCTTTTTTATGCTGGGTCGATAATCGGCGCTGGTCCGACGACCGCCGGCCTGGCTGGTAGGCATCAGGTAGGCGTCCTGCATTGCCATAGAGGGAGTACAGCAGGATATCGGCTTAAAACCCCTCGAAGATCCCGACCAGGGAGAAGTCGTGGTGGGTCTCGGTGGAACTGGGTGAGAGGAGCGTGGTGGGGGTTGCAAAGAGGAGATGAATGCGCCATCCCAGTGGCGAAAAGGGGGGCTATGAATTGTATCCGCAACTGGCACCGTAGGTCACGGCATTTTCTTCATTTGAGGTCTATCAAACATATATTCTGTATAGCCTCTCGCCTTCTTTGTTCCTGCCTAATTAAGAGGCGATTGGCATGGAATTTAATGCCAAGACAAGTGTCACCCAAAAAGGCAAGCGTGGTATGTCGACGCTAGTCCCAATACAGGTTAGCGTTCTATGTAGCTCAGGTAACCGTTGCTATGGGGAGAGCCTCAATACTTTTCAGCAACGAGTATAGTACTCCATAACTACCTTCTATTTATTCGCGTGTCTCCTGACCTCCTTTCCTTTTTCTTCCTCAATCTCACTATTCTCAATTGCATACTTTTCTGTTGGTCTGCATTGATTCGTATTGCATCTTCTATTGGGGTTGATCCTTTACATCTACTCTGATCATATATTACCATGGCCTCTGTTACTGCGTCAACTCCGGTGAAGAGCCACCATGGGCTTTTCTCTTCCAAGACCGCTGGAGGCCGGATGCCTCTGAGTCCTTCGCCCAACCCCCGCGTAAGCGGCCACTCGTCACCCTTCACCCCTCCTCCTCGCCAGTCCGAGGCTGGCCGCAGTCAAACCAAGTCGGTATACGGTGGAAACCTCTCTGCCCACTTCGCCAAGTCCATCTCAAAAGCAGCTCAAGCAGCCCGCACCACCCACCGTGAATCTCCCAAGGCGACCAAGTCGAACAAGTCAAACATTGCCATCACCCGCACCCGCAAATCACCCAAGCACTTGGAGCTCGGTGTCTCGGATTGGACCTTGACCGGCACAAGTGCAACCACAGCCAACACTCCTACCAAGGAGCATGTCCGCCGGGAGATTCCCACCCGGTCTCGTACCAGCAAGACAACTGTGCGCATTCCTCACAACGCTGGTGACCGTTTTATTCCCAACCGGACCGCAAGTGAGGGCCTGGCTACTAGCGGGGCCGCAAAGCCAGAAGAGAAACAGCGCCCTAAGAGCGGTGCGGCTGATGGATCATCAGTCCTCGCCTCGGCAGTCAGCGCTTTTGACATTGGCACGCGTGGATCCGATGATGACCTAACTGCTGCTTTGGAGAGCTTGGGTCTAGACGATAATGATCCTCCTACCTACACACGCCCGGCTCCCGATGCCGTGGCCTACAAATCATCTCTGGCTGAAGCTTGTGGGGTGAACATGAACACTCGCATCCTCGCATTTAAGCCTCCCCCTCCCGAGTCATCGAAGCCTATTGATCTTCGTGCTCAATATAACCGTCCCCTGCGACCTGCCAAATCTACATCTGCCCAGTTCCGTCGCCGTGTTCAAACTGCGCCCGAACGGGTCTTGGACGCCCCCGGTCTTTTGGATGACTACTACCTCAATTTGCTGGACTGGAGCTCTGGTAACCAGGTCGCCATCGGTCTCGAGCGAAACGTCTATGTCTGGTCTGCCGAGTCCGGCTCTGTTAACTGCCTTTTGGAAACCTCCCCCGACACATACGTCAGCAGCGTGAAGTGGAGTGGTGACGGTGCCTACGTTGGCGTTGGCTTGGGAACCGGTGAGGTCCAGATTTGGGACGTTGAGGAAGGTTCTAAGCTTCGCAGCATGTACGGCCACGACTCCCGCGTCGGTGTTATGGGCTGGAATAAGCACACTCTGTCCACTGGAGCCCGTAGTGGGCTTGTCTATAACCACGATGTTCGCATCGCAGAGCACAAGATCGCTGAACTGGTCTCTCACACCTCTGAGGTCTGCGGTCTCGAATGGCGCTCTGACGGCGCCCAGCTCGCTACTGGCGGAAATGACAACCTTGTCAACATTTGGGATGCTCGTTCTCTGAGCGCTCCCAAGTTCACCAAGACCAACCACCGCGCCGCCGTCAAGGCTTTGAGCTGGTGTCCATGGCAATCCAACCTTCTTGCCACTGGCGGTGGTTCCTACGACCGTCACATTCACTTCTGGAACACCACCACCGGTGCCCGTACCAACAGCATTGACACTGGCTCACAAGTCACTTCTCTCCGTTGGAGCAACCACTACCGCGAGATTGTTAGCTCTAGCGGCTTCCCCGACAACTCTCTTAGTATCTGGAGCTATCCAACTTTGGTCCGCAACGTCGAGATCCCTGCTCACGAGACTCGTGTCCTCCACAGTGCTATCAGCCCTGATGGACAGATGCTAGCCACCACTGCTGCTGATGAGAGCCTGAAGTTCTGGAAGATCTTTGAGCGCAAGGCCGGTAGCAGTGCCTCCTCCTCTCGTGAGGGTGGTGTCGGCAGCAAGGCTCAAATGACCAAGTCTATGACCATCCGCTAAAGGACTGGAAAATCTTTTTTTTTGCTCTAATTTGTTGAATACCCTTGTTCATTGTGATATTGAAAGCATTGATGAGCCGGGACATTAATGTCGGTGTAATGGTTCTTTGGAAGATTTCGGTGTTCTGATGGTGTTGTTCTCTGTATCTATTTTTCCGTAAACTGGCTGTACAAATTGTCCAAATGCCATTCCTACGACTGTTTTAATTCACTTTGCTCGTCCATGATCATCTCTTTTCATCTGTATTCTTTCTCTGATCTTTCAATTCACTTCCGTTTCTACTTGAAAGTGCGCAGTGGGTTAGTCGCCGATGACTAAGCCTCAGGGATACAGTGGGATTTCGACCGCAGAGCCGTGACTTTCACCTTCGCTAACCCATCGCGAAACTCATCGTCTTGCTTTCCTCTGACATTTGCACTTGTGGCACTTGTCTTTCAGACTATTTCTTCTCTTTTCTATTTGTGTGCAAACTATCGATTCACAAATTGCTTCCTATTGCGTCATTCGTGGGTGTGATCGATCAGCAACTTGATAGTTGCGACGGAGCACTTTACTTCCTAGTCAAGCTATCCTTACCTAGTACATTTCACCATTCACCTATTCCTAGCTCTCTGATCCCTTCGCATAATCATCCACCAGCTCATCGGCCTGTTCTCACTCAACAATCATGTCCAACCAGCAAGTGGTAAGTCCCAACTCTTCTCTGGCGACCACCTGTCTATCCCCAGCTGTCGCTCGCATAGCGACTTACTCTTGACTCATAACCATGTTCTCCCAATCCATCTTGGGGATTCCATTGAAATAAGAGCTGACATATGTGCCTTCATAGGGTGCGGTGTTCGAGAAGGTCATCCAGGAGGTCTGTGATGCCTCCCAGGTCGATTTTGAGGAAAGTGGTGTCGATCAGCAGACTCTGCATGATCTCCGTGAGGTTAGTAGCATATTTCCCTACCCATATTGTCCATCTTGTGTTGTCAAAGTCTGGTGTGCATGATTTCCCCAAAAGCGGGGATGGGCGAGGTGGTGCGGGAGGCGGTGCTTATGGGGGGACACCGGCTTATGAGTGCTCCCTTTATATGTGCCGCTCATACCCGCTTAGGCGCTTTTAGACCGCCAAGACTCAGTCTCTTCTTGATTATCTCATACAGCAGACCCGACACTAATTAATATCTATACAGACCTGGCAACACAAGCTTTCTTCTGTGAACGTCGCTCATTTCCCCTGGGATCCTGCTCCTCAGCCTGCTCAACAGCACTCTGTTCCCCTCCCCACCGCCACTGTCCCCTCCAACGTTCCCCGACAACAACCTCCCCAGCCGCAATATGTCCACCAGCCTGTTTCAATTCCCCAAGTTGCGCCCTCGCACACTATGCCTCCCATGGGTGGGCCTCGCATCAAGACCGAGCCCGGATCCAACGGCCAACCCGGAATGCAGCACTTGACCACACCCATGCCCCCGCATGGTCTTAACCCTCAGTCGGCTCGCGACCGTGCTGCAAATGCGCTTCACCAGAAATACGGCGCCGCAGCCGCCAACTCCGTCCACCAAATGCAAGCCCAGGCCCAAGCTGGACAAGGATATCCGCAGATGCACCCCAATGCCCATGGGCAAATGCCACAAATCAAACAAGAACAGGCCTACCCACACATGGGTCCTGGACAGACTGATGGTGGAGGTGACCCATTGACCGACTGGAAGGCAGAGGTAGCACGCCGTAGAGCAGCTGCCGAGAGTGGAGAAGGTGACCGACTTCTGCGCGAGCATCTCAAGCAGCGCATGTCTCAGTATGAGGCCGGTGGTCTCCTTCGTCCCTTGGAAGAGCATGAGTCCTCTTCTAGGGTCGCTCGCCGTGTGGCTCTCACAGCTCCTCTCAGCCAAGATACCCCCGGGTCACCTTCATCTACCCCCCGCGTCACTGGCCAGTTTGATGGTGCAGAAGACGATATCAAGGAGGAAGATGAAGACGCCATCAATTCGGACCTGGATGATCCAGATGACCTCGTTGCCGATGACCATGACGCAGATGAATCGGAGGGCCAGGTCATGCTTTGCACATACGATAAAGTCCAGCGCGTGAAGAACAAGTGGAAGTGCACTCTGAAGGATGGCATCTTGACCACTGGTGGCAAAGAGTAAGTCATCCCACTCTCCCACGTTATGCATATACTAACCGAACTAGATACGTCTTCCACAAGGGCCAGGGTGAATTCGAATGGTAGTCGAAATGACACCATCACTCCTTGTTTCTTTTTCAAATCTTCCGATCTCCATTGATGACATTTCTTTCCTCGTTCTGTAACATTTTTCTCCCCTTACATGTGCTCTATCTCATGGCACAAACGAAAACCAATCCCTACGTCTTTTCAATCACGCCCTCGAAACGGTTTGTGCAAGCGAAATATTTCATGATTCTCACTACCCAAATATCGACATGGTCAGCAACCGGGTCTTTTACTACGCTTTTTTCTTTGATTTCTAGCTTCTCGTGGCGCTTACAAGTGAGGGTGGGTTCTGCTTTTGCTTTTTTTTTA